GCACATAGTGTTAGCTAACGTGCATAGAGATTCCATCGTCTTTCGCAGCTGAGAAGTTTGAAATATATTGCTATAAATCGGCGCAAATAATTTTGAGACACCCTGTATTTGGATAGAGCAAGAAATGCACTTCAGATTGGTATAAAATTTGCAAAACATCTAATAGCGAATTACACCTAGGCGAGCATTTGAAAATTGGGCGCCAAAAAACGCAAGAACTTTCTTCACGACCTGATATGTAATACCGTTTAAGGTATTCCCGTGTGACAAGCTGATTTTCGCGTATTCCCGCGTGACAAGCTGATTTTCGTATCAACCGTGAGGTCCCCACGCAAGTACACGAATGACTAAGGAAAAGAGGCGTATAGAAACTGAGATTTTTCCCAGCCTTGACAACCACTTTTGCAGTGGAGGGTCTCCACACCATATCTTTGCAAGAGTTCCAACTCATCGATTGGCTCTACATAGAAACCGTGTTTTTAATATTTAACATTGTCTCTAAAACGTCTTACATCCGTTCCTGCGATAAAAAAGGTACCACATTGTGTTTACAGGACACTATCTAAACAAATGAAAGACCATTTCGGATGTCGGTCCAACAGCTTTCTTTGGTGACGTGAGCGGAATACTCCTTGTAGATGTTCACCACCAGTTATTCCCCTTTTAGTTTCCAACCCCTTCCTTCCAATTCCTCCTGCTTCACGAATCGAACAATCGAAACAACAGAGGTAACTGTGAAGTAAATCGTATCCAACAATATGACTTCATTCATCAACATTAGCATAAAAATAAGTGGGTAATCTCACATGAGCGGACATAATACTTTTCGTGAGCGGCGGTTCATCAAGGAATAGAACCGCATTTAGTACCTAGTTCACCTTGAACAAACTGCATCAAGTGGTAGAACTCCATTATCTTCCTCTTGTATCCTACTTCACGAAAACACAAAAAGACCCAATCGTCTTAACCTGAAGTGGTATGCACCTCGAAAGCTTGAAGTCAAGTAGCGGCAAGAACAAAGGAATCTCGTTTCTCGATTGTTAGATGCATGTTCTTGTTCAAGGAGAGTGAATGTAATCGTGTATGGGTCAGTTAGATAGTTGAGGTGGAAAAGAAATCCAAACTCAGTCGGAAATAAAAAGCACATGCTGAGAGTGAAAATGCGCTTGCATTGTTTCCGTCATCTTCACGAAGTTAGCTTCAGTTAAATGATGCTGAAGAACTATGTCAGTTCATTTCATCACGTGTTGAAAACACATTGGTGGCTAGCAGAAAATACAGGTCTGCCCTCGTTTAATCATTCACAGTGTTGCCGTGTTATTTTTCTTATAATACAACCGAAGTATTTTTTCAGTTATATGAATTTAACTATGCGCACTATAACGTGCCAATCAGTGAAACAAGCATGTACTTAGATCAGTTAGTTTAGAAAGTGAGCAATTTGTTGCCTAAAGTGAGGAGATTACGAAAAAGCAAGCTTATGTCCCTTATGTTAATAGAATGAAAACATGAATGGAAAATTTCAAAATCCTAGAGTAATTGAATTCAATTTGGTTTTCGTCACCATGGCTGGAAAAAAGCTCATCCCAATTTCGTATGAATATACAGTTTGCTCATTTTTCATTCTTTGGAGGCATGCAAAAAATAAAACGAAATATAAATTGTCTAAGGGATTAAATTATTAGGTTGATGCATAAATATTACGTCTTTTTTCAACAAATTTTATTTCGAAAGCGATAAAAACTTCCAGCAAATATAGGCTGAAATAATTATTCCGGAAGATATCCACGATCAACGTCAAACACTGCTTCCCATTGCTAGGCAGTCGGATTCCAAAGGCGAAGAAGTTTCGATTTTTGAAGGCGATCCACGCCTCGACATCAGCCCCCAAGTCATCCATTTCGGCGTAATTTCTGTTCGGTTGCGAATTTTTCAACGGATGATTGACGTGATAATCCATAGGAGATTCTGTTGGTGAATAGAGAGAATGTAGGAGCAAATTACATCCTTTACTGGGCTTTGAGTGACTGCTCCATCGCCGCAAAGTTCGTTGGGATCACTTAATGACTTCGCTAACTTCCAATCTTTCTCGAAATAATAGAGCCTAATGTGGCGATAATGAAAATGACTTCTTCGAGCTATTTCTTTTAGGAAAAACGAGAAGATAATTCCCAAAAAAACTACTGAATTCGAAGTTCAAATCGTATCGAGAGAAAAGAAGCCGCGAAAAGATCCGCAACAATTATGCATCAACCTATAACTTAGGGGGAGCCATTTTTGCAAGCTTAAGTTGGAGTTTATTATTATTGTTGTTTGTTACAGGTTCTACTTGATACGGACATCGAAAATTGAAACTTTAGCAACACTCTAACCAAAGAAAACACTAACCTGCGATCAGAGCCAGAGCTATGAATCCGACATAGAATAAAGAAGCCAACCAACGACTCTCGTCAAACATCTTCTTACATTGACCAACTGGTCCCATCAAAAAACACGTGCTACTCAGTGAAAGTATCGCTCCAATTGACGACATTATACAGAAGCCGTTCAACTTCGTCAACAGCAGAAGGTAGCCCGCCTGAAAAAAGGCGGTATTTGTCTTGCGAAATTGTCATCTAAAATCGGTCCTAAAAAGTGTAAGTCGTGGCCCTTGACAATCATTCTAGAGGTTAAGGGGTGCGGGCGTTCATAATGGCTCTTCGCGAAATGTTATTGATACGTGGCTGCCCTTCTGAAAAGTCATATAAGGCAATGAAGTTGTCCCACGGAAAGGAAATAACTGTTCTCAAGCATTATAGTTCAAGGAAATACGCCATTGGATATGGAAAGAATAAATGAAAAAATAAGTCAATAATATTAGATACAAGTAAACTATTGCGCAGCCCTTTGAAGAATATCTCCCTTGCGAAATTATAAATCAGGGGAAAATATCCTTCGGCTGAAATCCCCTTCAAAATCGTAACATATATCCGTCTTTCAAATTGAGTGCTTAGAAGGGGCAGGTTTCTTTTCAACTCAATTTCCTCTTTCCAATCTATCTGCACATTTTCGAGCTATATCGCGTTGATTCAATACAGCCACTTCATCCAGTAACCTA